TATTATTATTATTATTATTATTATTATTATTGCCCCTGAAAACAAAACGGTTTCAGAACTCGTTCCTATAAAAGATATGGTGTTTGGAGAAAACGATCGACAATAAGAAAAAGCTAATGTTCTAATCATTGTGGCCGTTATGATTTATTTTTATTAAGACGTCTTAAATTTAACCACAGTTTATTAGTAAATCAACTATCAAGTGAGATTGTCTTCTTTACATTTTACAAGATTTCTTATTTTTATTTTTGGGGTTCATTTACATAATAATTTCGAACTTAAGAGATGGTGTTAAGGAAGTTAAGAATCTTACCACAGGGAGTGTTGTTTGTTTTTTTTTAAGATATAAAATCTAGCGTTCACGAGCAATCTTGAGGATGAAAGAACTATGTGCAGAGCGCACATGGTAGGTTCGTATTCTTAACCTATTGTAGCGCCATCAAATGTAGTCAAATATTATAATGTATGTTAATTGTGCGTCAGCTTTCTGTCTTTCTATAAAGTAAAAGCGATATGTATTAATTTTCCGTCGTTACTGTGGCTATTCCAAGACAAGACGTCAACGCTATGAGTTTTTATCACCTAGTCGGTACACTTTGCCTATAGCGTGTGCAGTTTCAATTTTTTGATATAATAACATGTGAACATACCATTTTATGTGATTATAAAAAAAAGCCCATGAAATTACTGTGCAATATTCTCTTTAATGATTGGTTTGCAATCGTGGAAAAACTCAATTAACCCCGCCTTCTGAAATGTTTTGTTTTCAATGAACCTTTCGACGAATATTTTTTTTTAACTCGAATATGGACAATTTACGCCCAGAATGGTTTCTTATGTCATGTATAACAATAGTATCATAAGAAAAATGGCGTAAACTGCAAGACAAGAACAACAAGTAAAACTAAGGGTATTGTTCAGTTCACAGCGATTTTGTATGTTGGGGGGGGGTGTCGTTAAATCTGTAACAAGGACTCCACCCTGTATGCAAGCGTGGTTTAAGTGTTTATTTACAGAAGTAAATAAACTCACCGCTGTTCACAGAAGAACGTGGTTTTTAAACCGGTCTCCAAGCAGACAGAACTGTATCCAACCACTGAATATTTACGCGGTAAATATATGATGGAATTCCGACTCAAAATGAAATTTGTTTCCATATTCTGTAGTCTGCTGTTCCAGGTCAAATACTGCAATATACAGTCACATATACATTACAGTAAATATATGAATTTCTACATACACGAAACCTTCTTTCAAATGAATATTGCAACAGTGTAATGTTTAGTTGTGAAAGTGACATGTTCAGCTACGTAAACATGGATCGTCTACTGCAGCCTAAGGGGGGGGGGTTTACTGCATTAAATGATGCGACATCACGCGCGATATGACTGGATTTTGTTTAAAGCTATGTTAAAAAATCAAATGACAAACACTCGCACGCATGCACATACACACACAGCTCACCTGTCCGTTAGGCCAAGTAAATTGTCTCACGTCAATCGTCAATTAACATTAGTTTGTTACTACCCTGGCAGCCGTGCTTGTTATCTGATTTTGATCAGACTTGTAATGCATCAAGATGCAGATAGATTTGAATATTGTTCGAGATACACGCATAAAAATGAAGTGATCTTGCATTTGATTGCACTCTGGAGTCAATATTTCTCATCCGATTTTGCTCACACTTGGAATTTATTCTTTTATGATCAAGATCTCTCAGGTTGATAATGGTGAGATACAAGCATATTAACAAGGTGATTTAAAGTCTGATTGGATGATCATGTTAACAATCCAGAGCCATATTTTTTATCTGATTTTAATGAAACTTTAAATATGGGCTTATATAAATAAGCTCTTAGATAAGTCTGATAATGAGCGAAGCAAACATGTTAACCAGATTATCTTGCGTCTGATTGGGTGGGTTTGTTACCGCGCTGGAAGCCATATTTCTTAGCCAATTTGGATCAAGCTTGGAATGTAGGCTTTTAAGATCAAGATATCGCACGAGTTCAAATAAGGAGCAAGATTCACGCATATTAATTAGGCGTACATGCATTTTGATTAGCTTAACCTTTATTCTATCTGGAGACAGTATATTTCACCCGAGTTTGAGGAAACTTGGTAAATGGTATAAAATCAAGTTATCCAAGCAGTGTTATTATAGGCAAGATCATCACGTGTTATTGAGATTCATCGAACAAAGAAATAGTTCTGAGGTCATATGTAACATAATAAGTTACTATTTTCTCGTCAATAACGCAAGGGAGGTAGTCCATATATTGACAATTGAGAATCACAGGTTTGGTTCCAAAGAGTTATGTCCTTTGCAATACTGAAGCCTACCAGGTTTTTAATATAAAATTAGATTAGACGTACACATGAATTTCATTAGAACAGTTTATAACAATTATGAAAATAATACACGCTGGCGATTTAAACAAATAATTTGTTATTTAAGAATGAGGACAAAAGTTTGAAATAAAATATTTTTCGAGAAAACGTACAACTGCAGGCAAAAGTAAACTGTATACAGTATTGTAATTGAGGATCAGAATTTTTGTACACAATTATATCAATTTGTTAGCGATAAATGTGTTCTTTTATAATATTGATTTTGCTTCAATGAAACTACATTTCTCGTAAAATCCTGTCTATGTTTTTGAATTAGTTGGGGGGGGGAGAATTACTCCTAAAAGTTTTTCCACATGTTGAAGTCTCGAATATTTGGAATCAAGTGTAATATGTTTAGTGAGTTTGTTCCTAGTATTTCCATTTTTAAGTGCCTGAAACTTTTACAGATGTTGTAACACATTTATTGAACACTATTTTATACCATTTTATACTCGATGCCGTTACTCATTTGGGGGTGAGGTAGATGAAATTTTGGATTTTGTAGTGTCAATATCAAAGAAAAAAAACTAAATATTCTTTTCCAAGTTCAATTACCAAGAGCGATGTAATCCATTCCTCCATCTCCGTGATTTATAATTTCAATTTGACGAGAAAGTTATGTGATTTAGTGGACCACGAATTAAAGCTTTGCATATAATCCTGACCTTTAAAGGTCTCTGATTATTTCAACTATCCATTATGGCAAGAGCCAATGCTTATTTAAGTATGCTTGATTCACTTCTATAATTATTCAGATTTTCATCAAACAGTGCAAAACCTGATGACCTTGTATAGAGTGAGAAGCAGTAATAGTAGGCCTTACGTGATGACTTTGTATAAAGTAAGAAGCAATAATAGTACCTGATAAATACTGTGTTTTGAATCTGCTAACTAAATTGCAAGAAAGCAGTTATTTTAAGTTTGTTGGAAACATTGGGTGAGAAAAATAATCTATGTTGGTGATTGTACAAAGACAAGGAAATTCCAGTCGCGAGGTTGCTGCTTTTAAAGTACAAGTATAATTACTAACAGAAAGCTAATCGGCGTTCTGTTTATGTTTGTCTGTTTTGTAAAAGAATCTTGAGATTCATTCAATTTATTTCAACTTCTAATTACCATAAAAATTTAATGATAGATCTGCCAGCATACCACAAATATGGCAGTTGATGACGTCATTCGGGATCTTTTTATTGAATAACATACAGCCAGCAAATACATGTACATATACAGTACATGTATATGTATACGGTATGATGACATCTTAAAATAAAAATGTGCATGATTCAATAATCCTGAAAACTAGTTAATCCGGACATATTCACTGGGAACAAAGGTGTCCCGATTAACAAAGTTCCACTGTATGCATGTATGTAATGGATGTAATAAATAGAGACCTGAGCAGTGATATATAATAAAACAACACGAGACCAGGTATGCAGAATATAATAATTATATAACTGTGATTTATAGCATTTGAATAACACACTTTCAGAAATAAAATGATCAAATTTATATTTTAAAAATATCATTAGCCATTCTATTTATAACACTAAGAAAACTTTCATCATGAAATCGAGTGAATTCAATTGCCCAGCATGCCTGCATAATCTGGTTGCTTGTCGGTCCTTCCAAATTTATCGTTGGTGACAAGACGTCGACGAATCCAATTTTTTTTATCTCTCTGTCTCCCTCCAGATTCCTTTCGGTCATCAACTATAATTTGATTGTCTCCTTCCACTGTATCGTGTACACATGGAGCTATTTTCCATTGTTAAAATAAATAATAGACAATATAAATATTTGTCAGTTTTTTTTTCTGGGGGTCAAATATTACCCACTTTATCGTTACATCACATATCATCATATTGTAATTCAACAGCAACCAAGGTTAATATGGATCAGCTAGTAGCCTAACAGCTGATACACAAACATAGTACAAGACCAGTAATGTCTCTCTATAGGATATTTCGTATCTCTAATTAAACTATAACATAATCGAGACCTCCTTATCAAATAATCATACGTCCTGCTGTGGACTATAAATCACTAGTTGTGCTAAATGTCGGTTGGCTGGCACTCTTAATGCTAATGTCATTTATTCTCGATTAACAGAATTCACATCTCAAAATGAATTAATGAAATTTACTTTATGCCTTAGCTACGATATTTGCTAAATAACAATTCATTGGCTTAACATTTCTGGGTACAGTAATATCAATTACAAGCCTACATGATTCATATAATTTAAAACAGATAAATTCACAAAAATCTCTCAAACTCGTATAAGAAAATAATGCATGAAATTATTAGCATATCAGAGTCATAACCTTCAAGACAATAATTCTCTTCCGAACTCATCCATAGAAAATTGGTATATGAATTTAATACAAATAAATGCAAATGAATAATTACAAACTCATATCACGAAACTTGCATGAGACTGGGACAATTAACTTGCACTTTTCGAGATTTGCTTGCTTAATCGTGGCCAGATCTCTGCACCTTTAAGTCCCATATCCATCAAACATTCAAAACACCCGTCACTTAGTTTTAGCGATAAAAATTAATTGCATTTTGTCCATGGAGCCAAGATCTTCTCCTTCCAAACCGCTCCGGTGGCCTAGTGGTTAGAGCGTCCGCCTCAAATGCGGGAGGTCGTGGGTTCGATCCCCGGTCGAGTCAAACCAAAGACTTACAAAAATGGTACTAACAGCTGCCTCATTTGACGCTCAGCATTAAGAAGTCAGTGTTAGGACTGGTCGGCCTGGTGTCAGGATAATGTGACTGGGTGGGACATCATGCTACATGTCTGCGGCATGATGCCCCAGTGCTGGACATCACTATAAACTGCCACACTGCAGACATCGTAGTGATATGACTGAAAAATTGTTAAAGTTACGTTACAAATCATAATCACATCACATCACATTCTCCTTCCGTAAAAACGCTTGGACTGGCTAATTTTTCATGGTAGAATACTTAAAACATTGAGTTTCGTGTGAGAAACACACATCCCTTATGTAGCTTAACCAGTCAGGATTAAATTATTCTAACCACCGTTATTAATACACACCAACCAGTGTTAGAAAATTCTCTCTTCAGCACTTTTTGAATTAACCGATTCCTGGAAAATGTAAAAAGTTTACACCTCCTGAAAACTTGCAGCCGCTCCTCATACCAGCGTCAGAGGTATAACCTGGTCCTTTCTAAGAGCTATTAACGAAACTGTCCCATATATGAATAGCTTTCAGTTTGGCTTGAATTCGACTGAACTTTTGTCAGCTATGATCCGTTGAGTACCGTTCCAAATGAAATCTGTATTGTCTAACAGGGCTAGAAAAATGCAACGAGTCACTTTGTATTTTATAGTTGATATTTTGGACACGTAATGTATACTTTGTACACAAAATTCCAAGTTAACTTATAGGAAAATTTTAACCAATTAATGTTTGATTCTAATTATGAATGTGTCTGATACAGAAGGGGCAATAGGATATAGCTCGATTTAATTACTTGGCAGGATTTGACTTGAGTACGTCAGTTGTTTCAGTATTCCAGCGTTCATGTCGTTGCTTGTAGTTTCCTACATAGCCCCTGCCCCCTCTTCTCCAGCTCGGACTACCAAAGACAGCCAAGTTCCACTCATCTACTAAGAAGGTGACCCGATCAGCGTGCAAGCACGGAACCGGAGTGATGTCACATGGATAGTGTCCAATCACCCCCAACGATTTACATTGCTTATCTCGTGTGTATTTGGAACGATAGGATATAGCCCTTCCCCCTCTTCTCCAGCTCGGACTACCAAAGACAGCCAATTTCCACTCATCCACTAAGAAGGTGACCCGATCAGCGTGCAAGCACGGAACCGGAGTGATGTCACTTGGATAGTGTCCAATCACCCCCAACGTCTTACATTGCAAAGGATACAGAGTTATCTCGAGTGTATTTGGAACGATTCCCACTCTTATCAACCAAATCGCATTGAGCTTGATTGCCTCGAAATTCAACTTAATTAAATAGCATACTTTGTATGCAGTAATGTGTGTTGAGCTGTGGCACTGATTCCATCTCACACAAAAAATTATGTAGCCCACAGTGTGGATGCTAAATGGTCGCGTATGCCCAAGAGGGCGGATTCTACCTAAATCCAAGAAAAGAAAAGAAAAGTGCAAGGAACATCGGTGACGAACATAGCAGGAAGAAGATAGCAAGTAATTTAGCCAATGACGGAATTAATACCCCCAAAGCTCGAGGAATGGTACAGTTTATGTAAAATGCGCCGACCATTGGTGAACCGGAGTCTAAAAAACCCATTTGTCCCAGATTCCAGAAGTAAAACTTCATCTTACGTACAACCTGCCCTGGTAACAGACAGCTCTACATCGACACCAACTAACATCAAGCAATTTCCAAATAAATAGATTGACGTGGTAACGGTGGGGAAAAAAGTGTAGAAAAATAAGGAAGAGAGAAGAGGAAAGCAACAACAACAGCAGATCTCGCGACCGATAACCAGTGCGACGAAAATACTCCCTTCCCCAAACCTCTCCCCCATCGAAGACAGGAAGAAAACATAAGCTTAGCAGAAGGAGACGGAGAAAAAAGAGCTGTACTAGGTAGCCTTCCAATACATTATTCATAAAGGAAACAAGATGGACCCGAATGATGACATGCTGAATGATAAATCTGCGAAGCAATTTGTTGAAGATCATAAGACTCCTCTTACGAGGAATAAAGAGGGAACAAAGCAACAAAGCAAGGTGGTGTAAAGATTGAGACAGGCCTGCACATAATGTCCACTTACGCTGGCATCTCTAATATACATCAGATTGTCTGCAGCATACGGTAATGAGTCCCCGGATGACTACTGGCCTTTCGATCACCAGTTGGAACTGGTAGTTGTTGACCTATTGTATCCTGGGAAAACAGCAGATCAAGAAAGGAAATGTTTACGCCACCGGACAGCTTCGAACGAGTCTCGTCTTTTGCCCGTAAAGGGCTACAATTGTACTATATATTTGTAAGTATTGATTGGCTAAGATTAATTTCTTCTCAATACCGACTTAAAATAATATGACTGTAAATTCACTGACCAAATGCCATATACATCTAACGGAACAGAAAATATTTAGAGGTCACTTAGACCATTGTTTCAAACACCTATTTTAACCTGGAAAGTTTACTTTGTGCTCGAAATTAAAAAATTATCATTGTGGCAGGAAAATTATGAACTGTATTGATAGCCTCTAATTACAAAGGTAGCATACACCAAATTTGACATTACCTATTTTTCGGCGGACTGATCAGGGTTGCCTGACGGTATGGGTTTTCCCTCGGCTTATTTGAAAAACCCCTTTTGATATAACTCTATCAATGTACAAATTTGATCTATTCGAAGCCACCTTCAAACTTAAAACTATCAATAGGATATTACGTTGTGATACTAAATTTAAATAAATAACATTACTTACCGATTGGTTTACATATTTGTTAAATTGATCAATACTTTGTACAGAAAATTCAAACTTGAATGAGATGAATTAAATGAAGTTTGTAAGTTGCTGAATTGTCCTAAGTAAATATGTGGTTCACCTACTATTAGTTGTTAGGTGATGCCGATATTAGATAAAACTGGACATAATTTGATATAATATTGCATTCATGATATATAACCTATCTTGTGCTGAAAAACTGTCGTTAAACCCTACGACAGCAGCATTCCTGACATCTCAGAAAAGTTCCAGCACGCATTTGGTGCCTCGGACAGGATCATTCCTCCTGTTATCTCGCCTAGACATGAATTATTCTTGCAGTTTGAAACACACACACACACACACACACACACACACACACACACACATACGCATACGCAAACAAGCACAAGACCAGTGTATTTAAGCATGCTGAACTGGCTTTTGTCATGTGGTTGGCCATTTCTCATAAGGGACAACTAATTTTAAATAATTTTTTTAATACCTGAATGAACATACGGTGCCTAAACATCCACAATTAGGGTAATTAATAGGTGCGCAGGTTCACATCATGATTTCTTCTCTTTTGAAGATAACACCGAACATATTTGAAATGTAAGTGAAGACATAATTTGGTAAAATTTTGAGACTGAGATTCATAACGATTACAATTAGCAAAGCCCCTTAATTGTACAGCACATTTAGAATCCGAGATCGACCAATAGATTAATTACTCCGGGAAAATGTTCTTCAATAAGATCAGTGATTGATGTTTTCATATCAGTTTTGTCAAATCATGATATTATGAATGTTTTCAATTGTTCTTCTGTTAACTTGTCATGTTTAATGAACAAATATTTCATCATATCCCAGTCTAAAATATAATCACAATCTATAGTACTCATACGCACTCGTATAGCGTGTAAAATTATATCATTAATAAGTTTTAAATCAATCACAACAATGTTTAAATGTTTTATTGTTTCATTTATCTGTTGGTTTACATCTTCAGTGTAATATTGTAATAAAGAAGAAAATAAGTCTCTTAGTTTAGTAAATAATTGTTCGTACTCGAGTTCTTCATTGGGTCGGACCATAATATAAAATTTTCTTGTTTTATATGAATTTCTCCATTAACATATTTTTGTAAGTGTCTTCTTCTAATTTATAATTTTCTACCATAGAGATCTTGATAATGTTCTAATTGATCAGCGGGTACAAACATAAAATTGCTTAGATATTCTGGATGCGTTATAGATAGATAGATAGATAGATAGATAGATAGATAGATAGATAGATAGATAGATAGATAGATAGATAGATAGATAGATAGATAGATAGATAGATAGATAGATAGATAGATAGATAGATAGATAGATAGATGGATGGATGGATGGATGGATGGATGGATGGATGGATGGATGGATGGATGGATGGATGGATGGATGGATGGATGGATGTGGATGGATGGATGGATAGATAGATAGATAGATAGATAGATAGATAGATAGATAGATAGATAGATAGATAGATAGATAGCGAGGGGAACACCAGGCCATCATATACAGTTCTGATCGATGATTGATATATATCTATAACGCAGTCGGTGGAATTTGTTTCAATCGCCACTGATAATGTTGGTTCGTAAACAGTAATTGCTATTTTGGATTATTTCCCTGTATTAGATTTAATTCTACGCGGAAACTCATCATTAATCTGTTCTATTTGATAACTGCCCGTTGAAATTGCAACAACTTGCCAATCTGGAGTTCCATCGGGTTTATTCTTATTTGCAAATATCAATGAATTGTTTGCTGGTAGTCTACCAAAAGATTTTGACCTGATGTTTGGCCAGCTATGATAAAACCGTAATTGTGCTAGCTCTATTTTTGTTGCTAGCATTGCAGTTCGAAAGTTAAAGTTTAATTCTGGACTGATTGAACTTAATGATATCGCAGTAATTTTTGTCTGCGTAGTATTCGTGACGATCTGTTGCAATAGTTCGCGCGATCTTTGATCATAAATTATTAGTACTGTTCTTTTTTTAAATTAGGAACTTTTTATCATTTTTTTTTCTGCCAATGTAGCTATTGTCAACTTCATTTTAAATTTTCATTATGTAAATGAAACTCCTCATCGGGTATTTTACCATCAAAGAAATACGACGAAAGATACGATGATAGTTTAATACATTATGTCACTGATGTGTGT